GAGGGACTGAAGGAACGAGGTCTCCTGCAGAGGGGGGCGAGTGAGGTCAGCTGACTGAGGGGACAGCATCGGCTGAGGCAAGGTGTCCCAAGGCTCCTGATGGCCTCTATTTGCTCTGTGAGACAGCAAACCTATCGGTGGAAGTGTTCCAGCACAGAGCTGGGCAGATGGAGTTTCCTCAACAGATATTTACTTTATTTGATCATTGGTGAAAGTGTATGGGATTTGGATTAGGAACCCACACAGGGGCAGGGGTGAATTCGGCATGTCACAGGCATCACTGTGCAGTGTAGCGATGTGATTCTCAGTGTCATCCAGGAGGAGTCACTGGCCATTCTAAAAAGATGCCGGAAGCAGATAAACAGGGCAAGGGCAGTAGTCTTGGGAAGGAATTGTCGCGTATGATGATGTAAAATAAAATTTAACTGCATTGTATCTCTCTTTTGTTTCCTCCAATTTATCAAATTCTGTGTATATAACACAGATAAAAAAGAATATAAATAATTACGATGAGATTTAGAGTAGTAACAAAGTGTTTTATGATATGGTAGACGCTGGCAATAGTAGCAGCCTAACTACTGCATGTGGCTTTTGGAAGGACACGTACAAAGGACCCAGAAATAACTTTCACTGCTAATTACAAGCCAGGTGTTAGATTTGGTTCTTTCAGAGGTTGCCTCATTTAGCTTTCTTAACCCTCATTGTACAGATTTCTAAACTAAGACTCAAAAGTAGCCTCACTGATGAACAAGAGAAAGGTCAGGGTACTGGAATTTTAAAAAGACCTACGGGAGAGTTGGAAAGCCCAGGACTCGGGTGACACGTTGGTCTCTCCCATTTAGTAGATTAAAGCCTGAGAAGGGAATCAGAGGATGGAAATATTACTTCCATTTGCAGATGTAAATATTTAAAATACCATACATTTACTTAACACCTGCTCTATGGTTTACCCTCCATTGACTTTGACATTTCATGATTCTAAAATGACCTTTGCCCTTTAGCATAACACTAATCCATTAAAAGGAAAGACAACAAAAACTGAAGTTGATTTGTGTGGAGATCGAGGAGAAAGTCCCTATCCCCCTGTGCCTCTGCTTTCAATCAGTTTTTCTTTTCTATCCTAAGAACATGGTTAGTCAAGCCAGACGAAAGCAGAGTAAATGGCCCTTCCCTCTCATTGTTACTACAGTGTCAAAAATAATAAATAGGTTAACCACAGCGGTCATTTAGATTTGGGCATCCAAGACAGGCACTGCCCTTTGGGAGTGCAAAAGCACCATCTCCAGGGATCCCGTAGGAAGGTTCCGGCTGTTAGCCTGAAAAGAATCCCTCTTTTCCCTGGCCACTCTACGTGTGCAAAGTCAATATGCTAGGAAGTATTGAGCCCTGTCTGAGAAGAAACCCTGTAAGGCAGCTCTGAAATTTACAACCCGGCAGCGAGCTTTTAAAAATGCATCAGGCAATCCCAGCAGGCTTTTATATTAATAAAAGACACAGGTAGAAGATGAAGAGTTGCAGCCGCTGACTTTGACAGTACCTGAGAACTGTGTCATTGGTGTAGTGTATGTGACACTGTCATTCGGAATTGAATCTGTGGCCGCTGCCACTGCTGTGTCCTATGGCAATCTGCCACCGCCTCCCAGACCTCTGTCAGGAGTCGCTGAGGTCTGGTGGGAAGAAGACTGGGAAAAGGCGGAGAGCTTAGACCCGGGCCTTCCACATGCTCTGCTTCCAGCACCTGCAATACACTGACACGGATTCCTTATTCTGAACCACTTGTGAACGTGAAGGAGGAGCCAAGTCACTAGGCAAAAGCAAGGTCGTTGTTGCATTCTAAATTTGGCTAATTTGTATGACAATGGACCAAAAGTGAAACAAGCAGATCTCTGTTACTGAGGACTCACCTGCTGACCCCCAGTTGCTGCGTGCAGCCCTGTGCTGAGGAGTAAACAAAGGAAATATGAGACGATCCTAAGATCCAGGAGTTGGAAGGAGCTCTTGCTCCTCTCCGCTGAAACTTGGCCTATGCATGTACTATGCACACAGGGATCTGCAGTCCTCTCCTCCTCTCTAGCATTCATTAATTGTTGAAAATGTGCGTCGGTTGTGCATTACATGCTGTTCTAGACACAGATAAAAAGTTTAAGCATAGTATTTCGGTTCAAAGAGCTCAAGCCCTTGCAGGAGAGAAAGACTGGAAAACAGAGGGCATGCCACCCTATGTAAAAGGCAGGCAGGGCCCAATCCAGGAGCCCCGGAGGAGGTGCTCTCAGAGAGGACTCGGGTGTCTGCCGTAAGATTTAAAAAGACGTTCAAAACTGATCTGGTACTCAGCAACACATCCTGTTACTGGAACAAGATCGTGTAGGGACACAAGTGAAGAAAAGATGAGCTCACTGGCATAGATGATTTAAAAGAGCAGAGGGTAAAAAGAGAAGGGAGAAACAGCATGGAATGTAAAGGGGAAGAAAAGAGGTTAAAACTTGCTGAGAAGAAAAACTAAGGAGCAGAGAGTGATTGACCAGGGTGGTCCAGGTGTAAGTTACGTGAAAAAAAGGCTGTGGGAACATGTCAGAGGCTGCTTAATTTGTGCTGTGTATGACTTTGCCAGCTGAATTCGTACAAGCGTATGCCAGCAATATGAATGATTTCTATTGTCAATTTGTTTCGTTGGCATTATTCCCATGAATGCTAAAGGACATATCAGCTGAGTTGAAAGGAAAGCTCTTAGACAAAAGTCCCCTAAAAATATTTTTGATATATTTGACATTGCAAATATTCTTTTTAACTGTATTGATAATGTATTGGTCAGCTTTCTGTCACTGTAGTGAAAAATCTGATCCAGGCTACCTGTAAATAAAAAGAGACTTACCTTAGTTTGGGAAGTTCGAGGCCATGGTACCTGCATATTGGCTCAGTTTTGGTAAGATCCCCACAGCAGAGGATGGTACCGGCAGAAAGATCTTATTTGAGCCAGGAAGCAGATAGAGTTGGCAGAGGGATTGCTTCTATTAAAACAACTCTTTCTCAAGAAACCCAGAGGTCACACTAGAACTACCGCATGCCCCATTAACCTCAGGATGTTGCATGAGGGCCCTGTCAGAGGGCTCACCTGTTAGAGGATGAACCAGCTCCCAGTGCTGCCATCCTGGAGACCACACCGTTAATATCTGGACCGTGGGGGGGTGCACAATCTGACCACATCCAAACCACAGGAGGTACTCTTTCTCCACTGTACCCTTGCCCATTTCTGAGAAGACCCAGCAGTTATAATAAAAAATATTGTGCACTCATACTTCATGGTTTCTAATTCTATGCTATGGCTTGAGCTGAAACAAAGGATTCCCCAAGTATATTAATAAATGTTCCCCACGCCAAAGCGTCCCCAAGCCCCCAAATGTATAAAGAGTATATGGCTCATTCCTAAAGGCAATCAGATTCCAAGCAGCTTTGTATTATACACTGGTGGATGAAAACCTAGCTGTAAATGTGGTACTGTTGGTAAGTTCATACAAACAGACCCAGGATTTTGTCTTGGCAGCTTTGGTTCACTTCAGTTTTGTGTTACTGTGATTAGGAAGGCTGAGGCATTCCTTTTTTTTTAACCATAAATCTACTCTGGAGCCCAGCTCTCTCTAAACCAGGACATGGATTTCCAACTTCCCTCTGTACATCTCCACTGCACATTTAGCCTTTCATTCTTTTTTTTTGTTTGTTTGGTTTTTTTTTTGTTTTGTTTTGTTTTTCTCTGGTACCGGGAACCGAACTCACGACCTTGCGCTTGCCAGGCAGGAGCTTTGCCTCTGAGCTAAATCCCCAGCCCTAGCCTTTCATTCTTTTCCCTTAAAATTTGACCCTTCACTCCCCTGGGTTCCATCCTTGCCGTCTTGCTTGTCCCTGCCCTTGTCCTCTCTGCTGCTGATCCTTCTGGTGTGTTCCATCTTCCTCTTCCCTCTTCCTTCTTTCTTCTCTATTTCACGAACTCCTAATAGTGCTGGCTGACTCCAAAAATCCAGCCTTAGAAAGTTTTCTCGGCCCTAAGTTGAATTAAATTCTCTCTCTGTCTCTGTTTCTCTGTCTCTGTTTCTCTGTCTCTGTCTCTCTGTCTCTCTCTCTCTCTCTCCCACTGCAACCAGTACCTATTTCCTGATTATCACTCATCTCACTGAACGAGACTCATGAGCGTTGCTTGTCTGTCTTTCCTTCAGTCTGGTAGCTCATACAGGCCTTGTACATCATAGGGATTCAGTGTGTGTATGGGCAAATAAAACAATGCATTTTCAGCAGTCAGTGACGTCAATAATTGGGGGCCTTCAATGCTGTGGAGTCTCTCGTTGATCTTAAAGAACTTAGACGTTCAAAAGGTACATGGATAAAAAGTGTAAAGTGTCTGGCACATCCACTTTCTATTCCAATGGTGCTATCTTCAGCATTATTTTAAGTTATTTTTAATTTTCTACACTGTAGTGGCATTGTTGGTTAACCTTTAAAAATAAATTAGTCATTCTAAAGCCTCTTTCTTTTCAACAACAGCAAAAAAAAAAAAGAGAGACCCAGTCTTCTTGAGGACTCGAGGTGTTTGTGTGTGTGTGTGTGTGTGTGTGTGTGTGTAAGGAGATGGTAATGCAGGGAAAATGAGGAAGATGTTGACCGCTTAAGAAATACTATTCTGTGTTAAAGTTTGGAAAGCGCTGGCTTCTGTTACCCGAGGTTTGGCTCACGGGTAAGGGAATGGTAGAATATAACAGCTAGTGTAGACATATATGGGATGTTGTTGGTAAATGTGTACAGACTGATGCAGGTTTTACAAAACAAATACAGACTTTCCAGATCAAAATTTTTAAACTGATCTTAGGGCTTTCATATTAAAAAATGTATGTGCAGAAAAAGAGATGAATGTGTAACATGCATGTAATAGACAGACCTTTCTACTAAGTGGCAATATAAGTTTATTCAATAAATGCCTAGCAGTATTTCCCAGCATGGTCTAGGATCAGCATAGCTGTTCATTTCAGGGTTCTGACCCAATTCCAACTAAGTAATTCTATTCTGCCTGTTTAAATTCCCCACCATTGTCACTCGACATAGAATTCTTCTTCATTTCCCGTTCCATCTGAAGTGTTACGCCATGCTGAAAAACAGCTTCATGCACCACTCTAAAGGTGACTGCTTTGCCATGATGAGTGAGGCAATTTTGTTATGTTAAGTGCTTCGGGGGAAAAGCACTTATCGTGCTCCTGTAGAAATGCAAGATAATATTATACAAGGAACCTTCCTCTCAGCTGTTGTGCCATGTGGCATTTTCAAAACGAAGAGGACTCCCTCCACATTGCAGCTTATTTATGTGATATATTCACAATGGACCTATTTCCTGGAGGTACCTGGTAGTGTGGGTAGAAGAAATATAGAAGAAACAAAAATTAAACTCAGATGAAGTTAAACAGCTAGCAGTTGAGAGGCTAGCGGAAATGATCAGCTGCAACTTCAGACCTAGATCTAAAATTCTGAGTGATTAGCCCGAGTGAAAAATAATTGCATGAAGTATATTCCAACACATCTGTCACCGTGGTAAGGCTGAAATTCCAAATGATGTTTTGTAGTTCCAAGAGGTACTTAGGCTAAGTAAATATGTCCTAACTACAGAACTGAGCTTCATGGACTAGGGAATAAAATAGCCTTTGCAAATTCATTGATTATTACATGCAGCATTTAAAAGCCACATTTGGGGACAGTCTAGCAAGCAGGAGAGTAAATATACAAAGATGCTATAGAATACATACCCTTGCTCTTTCTTTAAAATGAATTTCTTTTCATTGACTTTTAGTAGCCCCAAATTCACTGTTGCTTTTCTTAGAAAAATCCCCTGCCCTTGTTTGCTTTGAAAAACACTGGTGTTATTGATCTTTAAATACCCAATGGTGTCTTAAGGTTAATTCAGGTGTATTAGCAGAAATAACTCAACATATGTCTCTAAAAACTTAGCAAGAATACAGATGGAAAGGCACTAGAAATCAATTTTTAGAGTGTAGACTCTATCACCAAATAGTAGACACTCCATCCTTTTATCCTAAAAACATACATCATCTGTAAAGAGGGAGTTTTCCAGGAAAGCATTCAGGCCTTTGATGTTGGATACCTTATTTGACCAAGAAAAAAATTATGTTCCTTACTGAGGAATGGCTCTCAACTCTCATGATTATTCTTGTACAGTTTTGATTAATCCTGGAAGCATTTCTATACTTTTCACATTACCTTTTGGACATGGTTGCTTTAAAATATTTGTTAATGTTCAGAAGCAGGGATATTAATAGTTAAAATATGAAGCTGGTGTCTTGGGATCTGGGTGGGCATCTGGATATGCTCTTGGTACAAAATCTCTGCCTTCACTATGCTCATTTCATTTTCTTCAAAATGGGGCTAAGAATAACACCTGCCTCTTAGACTCAGGGAGACCAAGTGAGACTCTGCATATACTACAACCTATGGGTCCACAAGAAGTGAATAGTAACTGCTATCACTTCACTGCCTGAGCCACAGGTTTGCTTTTGAATCTGGATAAGGACTTACACCATATCTCTTCATTTTACCATGATTTTGAAAGGAAACAGTCTTAAGAACAGAGTGAAAAGTAAAAGCTGAATGTTTTTGTGCCTGGACAAATCTCTGCAGTCCTTCCACCTTTGCAAATGTCTTTCCCCGGGCACACCCTCCCAAGCACATAGCTAGTGTTTGCTTCCACCAGCTACATCCTTACAGCTTTCTGCACCTCTCCCACTTATGTCCTTCACCCTGACATTGAGCATCTCTGTGTAGTTTTGTCTCTTTGCTTAGGCCTAACCCTGGGCTCAGCTGGCCTCTGCTCACTGTATTTTTGGGTTTATCAGGCTCCCTGCCCACACGCTTGACTGACGGGTCCCAGGTGCTTTAGTGCGCTCCCTGCTTGGTGACCTAAACCACTCATAGCATCATACGGTGTGGGAGTGAGAAAGCCCATATGATATCTATGAATCCAAGCATTTAATTTTGCAGCTGGGAATTAGTGAATTGAAAGCCATACATTTAACTCTGGATGCAGACAGTACTAGAATACATGGCTGTTTTATGCATTTGAAGTGCCTTACAACTGTATGGGGAAACAATTTATTTTTAATTCTAAACATTTAATTTAAAATGGGATGTCTATTTAAATGTCTTCTTTTTAAATGCAGAAATATATTCAACTGTGGAATCACAATTATGTTCTCATATGCTCATTTATGTCTCTATATTGGGTTCCATACTAAGATATAAGCTTAAATTTTTCATGTTTATTAATAAAATATCTCCTTACTAAATTCTTAACTGTAAAATTAAAGGAATTTCTTTTAAGTAGATATCAGATATAGGGATGTACAGGAAGTATAATTTATAGTAGTGCAAAACTGATATGACTCTATAAAGCCAACAATAAGAAAATGAATACAGAAATTATAGTACATTGATGACAAACTATTATGTATTTGGTAAAACTATGTTTTCATAGAATAATAAGAATATCTAAGTATATGCTATTGCATTAAATATAAAGGTTAAGCACTGCTTATACAATCTGACTCTAAAAGATTCATATTAGAATTAACATCTAGAAGGAAGTAGCATAAAATATTACCTTCAGTTACTTCTGCTTTGATGGATTACAGGTGCTGTTTATTTTCCTCCTTATTTTCTTTTCCTTTTTCTATACTCTCCAAATCTTGTATAATAAACACACAAATAGAAAACATTTAATGATAAAAAGAAATCTCAGAAGAAAGTAGTTACACCATTCTGAAAAGTGTAACTACACTTTTCATTTCATGGCAAATGTCAAAATTCCTCCCCCGATCGTATGCATCTTCTAATACTGTAATATAGCACCACATTCTCACAGTCACCAAGATTATTTGATAGTAAATTCAGGAAGATTTGGAACTGGAAGAAAAGAACCAGAAACAGAAAATGTGGGTTTACAGCTTACAATAGATGGTTTCTGGCTAAAGTTCCCAGGGACCCTTGTCTGTTTAATTCAACCTGATTAAGGAGCCTGGCCAGTGAATGCAATCTTATGCCTGGGAGCAAACAGTAGATCCTTTGCCTCAATCTTTTCAACTGTCTGCAGGTACATGTATACACACATGCACACACACATACCCATGCACACCTGTACATTCACAAGCTCATGCTTGCCTACCTGAGGCTCAAGCAGGTGTCACTGCCAGAATGCCAAGTCCAGGAGACTCACATGTGTAGTTTAACACAGTTCTTGGCTATCCAGAGCAGGAACTTCTGTACCACTGACTCTCCCGTTCCCCTTTATCCCTCCTCACCACCACCCTTCCCCCACCTTATTTGGAAAGTGATCTTTATCTTTATGTGGAGTATTTTGAAGAAGTAGAGGTAGAGGAAATAATAAAAATCATCTCACTATTCAGAGGTGAATAAGAGATAAGAGATAAAGCCATCACCCTCTAAAGTTAGGGTTTTTTTCTTTCTTAAAACAGCCCAGCCTTTTCTTGGAAACTAGTAACCCCATGATACAGGACATATTGGCCTTTTTCTCATTTTCCTTGGTTTATGTGGCACAGAGCAACAAAATAGCAGAACTATCTCTGTTTTAATAATGCTAGCACACACGGGGAGGAGGAAAGGGCTCCCCTTGCTTACTGAACTGCCGGCTAATCACTCTGTTTGAACTCAGCGGGGAATTCTGACAACACACCAGACCTCTCATCTATTTATTTTCTATTGGTCCCGGGAATGGTTTGTGATTCATTCCGTGTAGGTTGCAAGCTCTTGCACTACAGGAACAAATGGTCTCTGGGCTGATTTGCTTTATTAACTTTTAGGGCAAAGGAGGGAGAAATAGAAGAATTGCTTACCTACAATATGCGGACAAAAAGTTCCAACTTTTGGACTTCATTGACACTTCAAAATGTATTAAGTGGTCCCATTCCCTGATGATAGATGGATGGCTGTAAAGGAGATAGTGTCATACAAAAACAGAATCAGGAAATGGTCACACCCCTGGCACTCCTGCTGGGCCACTCCACTAGCCTGCTACTGTCTGTGAGACAGTGTTCTTCCCCATAAAATGAAGCAGTCGAACTGGTTACTGTCTTCTTTCATAAAGTTCTATGGTTTCATGAACAATGATAAAATCAACCCTTCAATACTGTCTTTGTCGAGAAATGACAGGAACTCTTCTATCCGTTAAGATAATGATAATCAAAGTACAATAAGTATTTGTTGTGCTACATGCTTGTTGTTTAATCCTGAGAGAGAAATAGGAGTCCCCATAACAACAGAGCAGGCCACCAAGGCCAACGAAGGTTAAGTAAGTGTCACGAGCTCATGGAACCTGTGGCCAGTGACACCTTGCCTCGGGCCTGGCACAGGGTCAGGCCTCAAGACTATTTCTCAGAGCCATCATAAAGTCCATCCAAGCTGCTAAGGGTTCCAAGTAAGTCAGTGTAATGCATAAGGTCATAAAGAGGAAGCAGCAGCGTGAGTGTGTGAGTGCTTTTATAAATTTGCAGAGGGTGATTCAGGATCACATTGCCCACGTGGAAAGAACACAATCACACAGGGAGGCTAAAAAGGAGTTTGACTGCACTGAAGAAAGAATGAGAAAAAGCTGAGATGGGACAAGAGGGCTTTATTTCTATCATTTATGCTTTCTCTTTTACTATTCTCTTTTAAAATGGTAAAGCACTTTGGAATGTAGTAAGTAAATAAAATGCTAAGCTAGCACGCTGATGCTATTTGAGCAATTTCAGTCCTTGGTGTAGTGAGTGAAGTAAGAGGGGACAGGGTCATTGGTCCAGGGATTTCTACTCAGTGAGTTGCTTTCCTTCTCTGGGTTTTATTGTTCCAAACTATAAACCAAGTGGTTGGTCCAAATTAATTCACTAACCATCCAAACGCTGTGGGAGGTATGAAGGACACTGAGCTAAAGACAGTTATTCTCACAGAAAGATCTTTGAGAACTCCTCACCCCTGAAAATCTATGATTCATCATCAAGGCAAAGACTGATAGATTGATGGGAATTATTTGGCCATTCCGAGCTACACATGACATAAAAACTTACTCATATGAAGAATAAGCAATAAAAATATAAATAAAGAGTTATGGTTGGTAGTATACACTTTGATGTCCATCAAATTTATGATTTACAGGGCTTCCTCTTTCTGGCTTATGATGTAACTAAACATTTCAAAGATACAGCAGTGAGATGATGCTTACGTGAATATATTACATTTTTATGAAATACAATACATCATTCTACTAAAAAGAACCTTCGAAAATGATTCTTGTAGATTCTAATTTCTGCGCTGTATGAGGAAAACAAGTGAATTATTTTCCCCCACAATTTGCATTTTCTTTTTGCAGTGTCATAGCAAAATAAGCTTCTTTGTTTGCACTGGTGTCAGAATTAAATTAGTTTGTTATTTGTTCTCTCCTCTTTCTGAATTTGGTTTCAGTGCAAATAGTTATTTTCATTAAATTGTCTCTCTGTCTCTCTCTGTCTGTCTCTGTCTCTCTCTGTCTCTCTCTGTCTCTCTCTCTCTCTCTCTCTCTCTGGCTTTAGGTCTTCAGTTACTATAATTATTCTGTGCCACTGCCTCTGTCCTATTTGTTAATCTGCTATGTGCACAACTGTTTTATATTGCACTTAATTATTTTATTTCCATTTTATATTTCTTACCTCACTTTGTGGCACTGTGATTTCTTTAGCTACATTTGACGCCTGTTATGTTTTGATATTTTCTCAAGGTACTTTTTATGGACCTAAATTGTACAGAGTTGGTAAAATAGGAAAAATAGATGATCACCCACTTGTTATTTACTGAATGAGGACAAATTATAAAGAAGGAACAAAAATGACACTCAGCACAGAGATTGTTTTGAAAGTTAATGGCAAACTTGGAGTTGTGGAAAGCTGCAGGAGATACCTGCTTTCGTAAAGCCAAAATCATCCACCTTTTTCAAAAGGGAGCATATTCCCAATCCAAGGTTAACCTAGGAATAACCTTTGACAGAAACAAAACCAGCCACATTTTTCAATTTTAAGCTACAAAAGCTAAAAAAGTTATTTCTACCTAATAAAAAGTACAATAAGATTCTAAATGCCCACAGAAACACTTCATCTATGTTATTACACATCAAAAGCCACCAAGGGTCCATTTGTGCTTTAGGCCCCAATCTTATAAGGTTTTGCAGACATTTTCGATTATGTGCAGATGGGAGGAGGTGGGAGGAGTTTAGGGCAGCAGGGGGTTTGAAATGTAGTTTTATGAAGGTACTAGAGGAAAATAAAGAAAGATTTATGTTTTGTCCTAAGAACTCAATTAGCAAATGTGCTTTAAACGACCCTCAGGATCCAACTACAATTGACCCTTGGCACATCTGGGGGACTGGCTCCAGGACCTACCCCACATCCCCATGTATTTCAAGATCCACACATGCTCATTTGTGCTCAAGTTCTTCATATAAAGTGTCATAGTAAGTAGCATAGTAGCCTGAGGTATGCACAGCTTCCGGTACAGTTTACATCATCTCTAGATGCTTTATGATATAGGTATCAATCAGCTGCAAATGTTAGACAAACAGTTGTGCTACTGTATTGCTCAGGAAATATGAGAAGGAGGAAAAGGTTATGTGTATTCAGTAAGATCCAATTTTTAATAAAGTATTTTGCATCCAAAGTTCGGTTATATCTGCAGATATGGAACCCACAGATATAGAAAGCCACCTGTATTGTTCTAGGAGTTGGCACTGTAGCAATGAACAAGTGAGACAAAGTTCCTGCCTTCTTCAAGGTGACAGGGCAGTGGAACAGAGTAGGGCCATAGCAAATATACTTATAAGTCAGCAAATGATTAGTCACCAGGGGATCAGAGCAATAGAGAAAGAATGACTTGGAGTTTGTAGGGTAGGGAAAGCCTTTTTGAGAAGTTGCCCTTGGGTAGAGACCTAGAGAAAATAAGAGAGAATTAGGTCAATATCTAAAAGAAGATGACCCCAGGAAGCAGAAACAGCAAATACAAAAGGCCTGGGGCCGCAGTGGACTTGACCTGTATTCAAAGAACAGCAAGGCAAACGGTGAATGAAAGTGCAGGCAGTGGTAGATATTAGGTCACTGGGATGAACTTGGAAATTCAGTGCCTGTCAAAGTCTGTCACAAGACCAAAAAAAAAATTTTAAATGATTAACAAATTTGACTCTACAAGAATTAAAAATATCTACATAAGAAAAAAAAAAAAACCACAGTAAATGAAGTCAAAAAATAAACAATTAAGTGATGATTTCCATCACAAAAGCCCAGATTTTCTTAATTTTTTAAAGAACCCTCTTTACATCAATATATTAAAACATCAGTAATCTCCAGAGAAAAAGAGGACAAAGATAATGAAAAGAGTTTTAATCAGATGAAAGATATCCAATCGTACCTATAATGCAGAAACACAAATGAAAAGCTATCAGTGTCTCATACCGTTAGAGTGGCAAAGAGCCGGACGTTTGATCTTTAGCGAAGCGGTGGGAACTCCCGCAGGTCCCGTTGTGTACCGCCAGTGGGAACAGACGTGGGCACGGCCTGCTCGGAGGGAACTTTGACAGTAACGCTCAGAATTGTAAGTGTTCCTATTTTGGACCTGGCAGCTTCCCTTCTGAGACTTCATTCACAGATTTATTTGCACATGCATTAAATGAATTATGCACAAGGACATGTGCCGAAGCTTTATTTGTATTAGCTGGGAACCCTGGACCACAGTGAGTAATAAGACATGCATCAGATTCCCTTTTTAACTGGAGTTATGAATCTCATTTTAAACCTGAGTCCCAGGAAGTTCTGGAGCAGGAAGACCAGAGAAAAACATTTTTCTGCCATGGGTGTGGGGATGGATTGGTTCAGTGACAGCTTTATTGTCATTTAAAGAGTTCTGATTGAGGGGCTGGGCTCAG